AGATATTAAACAGGAATAACATATTAGAGTAGTGTTTTTAAAGTCCTCCTTCTTTCTTAGATGTAGGCACCTACACAAAAATTAGATTCATGTACTTGAATTCTACTTTTGGATACACACAGCTTGCTCATTTTCCATTTGAACAGAGAGGAAATAAAAGAAAGAGGTTGCTTTTTTTTTCTAAGAACTGTGATGGTTATTGTTTTCAACAAGGATGGAGGACATCTGAGCTCCTCAGCCTAAAGTTCTTAGCTACTCCTTTTTCAAGTAGAAGTGTCTGAACTAGCCAGCTATTAACTAAAAGCATCTGCAGGAACTCCTTGCTTCCTACTAGTTGAGGCTGTGAAGACAAGCCCGCAAAATTTATGGGGACACAGGGAGAAGAAGAAGTGAAAATCTGGTCATGAGGCATGACTGGGGAATGACAGGTCTGCTCTCTACTCCCAGGCTGTTTTATTAAAGAGACCTAAATAAAATGCATGATGCTTCTTGAGGTTTATGAGCCCAGTTAACAGAGGCAACAGCCAGCAGATGTAGAACGATGTGCAGCAGCCTCTGATTTCTGCTTTGGGGGCTCCTTGTGACATCAGTGAGAGTAGTCAGCTGCCTCACCCCAGAGTGTCTGAAGGCTTTGGCTCAGCTGCTGCTGAACAGGGAGGCTCAAGCAGCCTTTGAGATGCTGTTTTCGCTAGGATGTACTGCATTATGTGCATTCAGATCCATATATAGAACCACTCTTCCCTCACATACAAAGCACCAGGTTGGGAGCCATGAAACTGTGCAAGCCATAGTCATGCAAGAAAATCTAATTATCATGTCCTTTCTTATACTCAGCTCCTGAGTCTTACAGAACCATGAACACAAATGATTATAGAGATATACCTCTCTCTGCACTGCAACTGTTTGTATTTTAATCTCTCTTTTAATACCTTATTGTGACAAATGTGCAGTTCTTGGTTTGCCCTGTTTATTTTTAGGTGAACATCAAATGCTCAAATACTCTGATCTTCAGTGAGAAGGAACATTATGAATGCCTACAAAGTGACATTGCTGACTTTAGCAGATGTGTATGTTTTGTAGTTCGTCCAGAGATGACATTTCTTACATTCAGGAGGGCTCACTTCATATCAAGAATTACTGATGCTATTGTACATTTTACGATATTTTACATAATTAAATGTGACTGTGCCATTTGATACAGACAATTAAGCTCGTATTTGTGAGCAAAGTGTAATTAACAGTAAAGACACTGTGCCATTTTGGAGTTTGCTTTCAATGAGTCTAATTACTTCACATAACTTAAATGCAGTTGAAAGTTTATCTTTAATTTAGTTCTATCCTTTGCAATTAAACCTTTTAAGACAGCCAGATTAGAAACAGTATGTTCAAACATGATGACAACTAGAATGCATATCCAAAAGCTCACAGTTTTAGGCTGTTTCAGTAACTGATATTGTAAAGAAATTATATTCCTTGCAGAAAACGCATTTTATGACTTTATAGATAAACACTTTTCTTTGGAAGATCTTAGGGAAATGTACTTCCTATTCATATTCTATGTCCTTAACTTCTTCTCTGTACAACTAAATGTTTCTTTGAAATTACTAGAAGATTTGGCTCAAAGTATGCACCAAACTTGTTACTTTATTTTTTACAAATCAAGGATATTGTCTGAAATTATAACTCATGCAGGAAACCTTGGGGTATTTTACAACTATATCTAGAGGGGTAAAGAGTGCCATGGGCTGGGCATTGGGACCCCTGATATTATCCCATGTAATTCCTGTGCATGCTGAGGAGTTGTTATAGACTGTATACCGTCTTTAATAAGCAATTTGAGTGCATTTACCCATTTTTTCTGATTAAATCAGAATTTAATGGCATGGCTGTGGTCATACTGGGCCAGTTAAGGCAATGTTACTAATTAGTTGAGCAGTACAGATGTCAGCTGCCTCTCACAACAGTGAGCTTCATTACACAGTCAGCTGATGCCATAAGGTTTGATAGGTTGAAATGAAAGGCTGTGCTAGAAAATGAAGAGCCATTGAATTATCTCTGCCACGATTTTTAGTTTCAGTATTTCTGAGTTAGGGCATAGCTGGGAATGGCATTAAAAATAATTAACTCTTGTGATTTTTTTATCTGACACAATATTATTGAAAAATACAGACCAGAGTTTTTTACATGATATCAGTTTTAAACAGGGGCTCAGACAATTAGAGTATTGCTTTTCCACCCACTGCTCTGAACAATGCTAATCTAATGAATATGTTTTCAATATAAACATCTACACCTGAGTTGATCTTCTAGATTTTTTTTATAGAAAACAGAGAAAAGCAAGTACTTTTAATCTCCTTCCTTCTAACTTAAATGTCCAAAAAAGCTCTGATGACTCACAGGCTAGCAAGTGCATTTATGAGAAAACCCAGAAATATTAACTGAGCTAAAAATTAAGCTGGGACTGATTCCTGCATGTCATTTAGAGCACCCCTCTGCTCAAAGCAAGGAGAACTGCAATGTTAGATCTGGTTGCCAAGGGCTCTCTGTGTACTGGTTTTTACTGGCCTAGAAAAGGGAGTGATTGGCTCAGACGTGGGTGCCTACATTGCATATCTCCTCATGCAGGCAGAGCTACTCTTTCTCCTTTAGCCTGGTGTTCGTGTATGTTTGATGAGTGCTCAGATGGCATAGTCTTCTAGCAGCTGTCAGGAACATCTGGAGCACAATTAAAAGTAGGAGAAAAACTGTGATGCCTAATAAAGAAAAGCTATAGATCAGCCCACCAGAAACATGCACAAAGTTGAACTAGTTCCATAATAATTTACCAAAGACACAGCTTTCTCTAGAGAAGTCACATTCAGACCTTTACCTAATACACGTGGCAAGCCAAGTGAAACTATTTCGAGGTTTTATGATTCTGTTTGAAATTTAAACTAGATTTGAGCAGTTTGAAGTTAAGTGCCTAAATTTAGCTACTTATGTAGAGATGTATACAGGCTCTTCAGGTATCTTAGCTGTGCTGTAATCAGCAGAGTTTAGAGAGATTTGTGTACCCAGTGGCTGGGGCTGTGGTATAGATGTCTAAACACATCTTGTGTCACTTAGGGGGCCCTAAGAAATCCTGTCTTTCCCCATCTATTATTCCAGAAGGAGAAGTCTTTCCTGTAGGTCTTGCCTTGTGCCTCGTATGCCAGCTATGCACACGTTGGGGTCTTAATGTCCTTCCATGGTGCTGGGTGTCTTGGAAGGTCACCTAAGGTGTCTTGATATTGAATTACAAACATTTCCACATAGCTGGCTTTTTTTTAGGTGACATCACTCATAAGTACCACTACTTTTCTCTGAAAACTGAAAATTGCTCCTCAAAAATGCTCCCTCTGGATTATCCACATTCCTGGTACAAGCTGCAGGAAAGTGCATGGAACATAAAAGTTTCCCTCCTGAGACACACACAGCTAAGAAGTGTGTCATAATAACACAACTGAAGTCCTTAGGCACCTACCACTATTCCCTGGGAGCTTAAAAAAAAAAAGTGAAAGGCTTAGTGAAAGCATCTATGTGATGAAATATAGGAGATCTCAGTGCCATTGACAGTTTTGCCACAGACTTGCTGGTTAATTTTGGTCCAGTAGCTTTAGTGCTTTGTGTCTTCATTTGCCTATAAATTGAATTGAGCTGATACAGTTTCTAAAGGCTTTGAGGTTCTTGAATGGCAATGACGTGTCAGAGATGAGTAAAATTGTTTAATGTTTAAAATAACAAATAAAGACTTAATTCAAACTGCTTCTGGATCTTTTAAGCCCCTGAGAAAGAAATTCTGGGGAAGCAAAATTACGCTACAAAAGCTTTAGGAAAAATAATTAGAGAATCATCAAACAAGCAGGAGCGTAGAGGCACTTATGTTATACCAAGTAAGTAATTCACACAAGTTAGGTAAAAAAATAAGCTCATCATTTAGCTCAATATTTTGCTTGACTGATAAAGAAATAAAGTATCATTTTATTTATTAAATATTTATAGGAATTGTTTGTAGAAATGACATTTCAATGCTAACTTCTTGTGACAACATTCATAAATGTGTGGAACAATGCTGGAATGTTCACAATTTTGAATCAACAAGACCAAATTATAGTGTGGAGCTTTGGTAACTTAGTATGAGTCCTTCCTGATTATGGGGCTCTCAGATAGGATGGGTTAGTATTTAATTAAATGCAATTAAATAATGATGATAAATCTGAGATTCCACATTACAAAATGCAATGAATAAAAGAAACAAGATATACTAGCAAAATGTTCCCTAATGTTTTACATTAGGACCTCCAGCATACTCAAATATCCAAAGTACCAAGTCAGTTTTGAAGATGTAATTCTCCTCTGAAGTTCAGAACTAATGCTACTGATGTCAGTGAAACGAGATGATACTCCATTTTTACCAGATGAGATATGGGATAAGATCTTAATACATAAACCATTTCTTTCCTACTTTCTTCAGTCTCATAATTTAATCTGTCAACCCTTTGAATGGCCATGCCCAGAAGATGGTAATAAGTGGAACAAAGTGTAGTTGAAGGCCAAGAACTAGATTTTGCCCTATTCTCAGCACACACATAATTTGAAACATAAAGAGAATCCTACTGAAATCAGTCAATATTCCTCAGTATTTAAAATTATGTATGTTTAAGTGTTTTGGATGAAAGTGCAATTGCAGATTAATTAAAGCTTGGATGCACAGTGGAAGTCACTTGGACAGGATATGGAAAAAATGCCTAATTAGTTTATTGTGGAACAGAATATACTGGAATATCTGAATAAGGAAGGCAAATTTCATGATTGCCACAGAATTTGAGGCTGCTTATGAAATTCTAAAATAGAGTGTATTTGAAATGCAGTAATTTTCTTTTTTTAACTGAACAACAGGAAGTGAGTTTTGCTGAAAACAAGTCAGCTATTGGCATGCTTCTTCAGCAATCTATCATAGCTCTTCAACTTTATTTTCTTGTACAGCATGGCATATATAAAGAGAAGAGATATATTTATTCAACTCCATTACTTCCCAGAGACTCCAAGGTAAGTGTGCGATTTTGAGCAGGGGACAGAATTATGAGCATGTGGGACTGATGTAGATCACAGCTGGGCTCAAGAGCACATGGGGCTAAACAGCCATGTTTAAGGAACAGAGCTGAGATCTGTGCAGATGACAAAAGTTGCTTAGGCACTTCCAGTGCCAGTAGACACACAGGTATAGACACCTCCATGGGAGGGTCACTCTTGATGTCATAGGCTCATAGAATGATCTGACTTGTAAGAGATCTAAAGTACCGTCTACTTCCAACTCCCCTGCCATGGGCAGCAATGCAATCCACCAGACCAGGTTACTCAGAGCCTCATCCAGCCTGGTCTTGAACACCTGCAGGGATGGTGAGTCCACAATCAGTTTGGGCTACTTGATCCAGTGCCTCACCACCATTATAGTAAAAAAATTTCTATCACCCTTGTAGTAAAGAATGCCCACTCCAGCTACCCTATGATTTTTTCTTCATCTGCAAGTTCTCCCAAACCAGCACCTGCCTTTCCAGTGAGAATAGGAGTGCTTGGACTTAGTTGTATTATTTCCACAAATTCTCAAGGAGACCTCCTTCATCCTTGTATTCAAGTCCTCATGTCAGCTTTTAGGATTTTTAGGATTTCAGGCAAGGATATTCCTAAAGCGATGGTTGGTTTTAGAGCTCCAGTGATATACAGGAGCAGACAGCTGCTGCAAGTCCCTAGGAATCTCAGACTACCTGGAGTTATGCAGTTTTTCCAGCTGCTCGTCCTTCTTGGGATTAGAAACTTTGAAGTTACATGGCAGCGTTTCTGTGGAACCTTTTTGGGTTAATGTTTCACCCTTTAATTTCAGGTGCATGTAGCAATCACCCACCTGTTACAATGCTTATCTGGTCCTCCTCCTTATAATACCTGCTTTCAGTTGTTCAACTGAAGCAAAATAAAATTTTCTCTGCCTATCTCTCCTTTAGAATTATGACACTGCATTCTGTAAATGGAACTGGGCCATGGAGCTTGTCAATATTTTAAGCATGTTAAGACACGAAGGGATTAAAGAAGTATTAAACACATGCCTTACAAACAAGAAAACAATGAATTATAATAAACTTACACTAAAATATAATTTACTCAAAAATGAATTTCTTAACCTGTAAATGCACATAGCTCTCAAAAAAACCTTCTTTTTCCCCCTAAAGGTAACTTGGTGAATTGAAACAGTAAACCTTTACTTGAAAATAAAAAATTGTTCAGCTTGTAGAAGAGAAGACTCCAGGGAGACCTGAAAAGTTCCTTCAAGTACCTAGAGGGGCTACAAGAGAGCTGGAGAAGGGTTGTTGTTTTCAAGGGCACAGGGTGATAGGACAAGGAGGAATGGCTCCAAGTTGACAGAGCAGAATTAGATTAGGTACTAGGAGAAAATTTTTTACTCTGATGGTGATGAGTCACTGACACAGGTTACCCAGGGAAGCTGTGGATGGTCCATTTCTAGAAGTGTTCAAGGCCAGGTTGGATGGGGCTCTGAACAACCTGGTGTAGTGGAAGGTGCCCCTGACCATGGCAGGGGGGTTTGGAACCAGATGATCTTTAAAGGTTCCTTCCAACCAATCCTTTCTATGATTCTATGACTCATTTTCCTCATCTGCACATGTGCAACTGTTATTGCAGCTAAGCTGATATGTTTAGTCTGTTACTAAATGTAAATGAACCCATGATTGACCCCTCCAGTCTCCATGTTAAATAAAATATTACCCTTCATTAAGGGTCAGGATCCTACCAGATAAGTTTAGCTGTCTAAAAGCAGTCATCTAGTCTATACAATGCATATAAGCTTTCAGGTGTGAGCTAGACAGCCAGAACCTCTGTCCAAACATGCCTCATATGTTACCTCCCTAAATTTAGCCACAATTTACACTTCTTGCTCTGTAGAAGTTCGATCTTGACCTATATGTGTTTGTGCTGCTACTGTTCAAAGCCATATGCTACAATTCCCAACCTGATTGGATTCATTAATGATTAAAAGCATCTTCCTCCTGCATGGTAATCCTAAAGCCTTGGGATTTATGGGAGCTGAGGCATTGAGCAGCATAGGACAGGCTGGCAAACTCCAAAGTAATTTCAATAGCTATGCAAGAGAAACCTCTCTTAGACAATGTGTTTCTATTATTTTCAGGCACTGAGAGAGAAAGAGGTTTCTTCTGTAGGCAGTGTTGACTTTGAGGAATTTGAGGCAAATTCAAGAGGAGATTTTAAGTATTAAATGTACAATGCTCAGAGGCAACAGGACTGATTTAAGATTCAGGCAGGAGGCAAAAGCCTTTAAATGAAAAGGTCATGGATTCTGTTTTTATGAATAGCAAGGCATCAAGCCAAGCAAGATAGGAGCATTTCTCTGCATTTCTTAAGATGACTTTGCAGAATTGCTAATCCAGTAAATACATATCCCAATACACTGACCTTCCAGGTCCTTATCCACTGATAGGAAGCCAAATGTCTTTCCTTGTATTTCTGCAGTAGAATGAACATGTGCCAAGTTCAGACCAGTAGTATGAAATGTGGACTGCTAAGAATTACATTAGGATATTAGGATAGTAAGTAGAGACATTGCTGACCAGACAGCTCCCAAATAAGGCAGTTATTTTGATCTCATTTCTTTCAATTATATCTAATAATAACAATTCAGCACAGTGTTATGCCCATGGCAGGCTCCAACATGATGCAAGGTGATAACAGGGTTTATTTTCATATAAGTTAGATTTTGGGTTCTGATTTAGAAGTGAATTAAATAGTGCTGAGCAGGGTTGAATTGAAAACACAAAGATAGTAATCTTCTGTTGATCTCAAGGTCCCATGCAGTAAATGCTGTGATAGTAAAGTTTCCTTCACCCATGACCTTTAAACCTGCATTGAAACACTTCTGTTGCAGAAGCAGTTCCTTAAACCTTTCTGCTGACAAAAATAGCAAGGAAATTGTTTTCTTCTAAATGACTAATCTTTTGTGATGCCACAGAAAGGGATTGTATTGTCTGGTCGTTATCTCAAATAACACTTACCCAAGATTAATCTGTGTATACTGAGGTTTCACTGAGGGCTTAACTAGAGAAGGGAAATGTGCAGAATTTGCAGAGAAAGCATTCACTCAGACCTGTGCACGTGTGTACATTTTTATAAACCCAGGAAGATGCCTTTGAAGCATCCAGAGGGGAATTTCATCTGCCTCATTTTGAGGGTTTAACTTAGTCAGACAGATGACCACTATGAAGTTTATGTTGTCTCATTTGCTGTGTCATTTCTCAGTGAGTTGTGACTCTTTGAAGCTCAGGGAGTTTCATGCTCTCTCTACTGCACTGAGCCATGCATGGCCTGTCTCCTCTCATGGCTTCTGGCACCTTTTTAATGCTGAGTTTAAGAACAAAATGCGCACTTAGAATCATAGAATCATTTAGGTTGGGAAAGACCTCTAAGATCATCGAGTCCAGTAATCCAGCACTGCCAGGTTCACCACTAAACCATGCTCACCACATTTACTTTTTTTTTGAACACTTCAGAGACAGTGATACATTCCTTTGCTTCCCTGGGCAACCTATTTCAACACCTGACCATGCTTCCAGTGAAGAGATTTCATAACAGATTCCACTGCATCAAATAACTTGGCACATGTGTAATAGACTTGGAAAATGGAAGTGAAAATTAGTATATCTTGAGTATTCTTGCTCATATTTAAACACACTTGTTTGATTTATTTATCTATCAAATCATACTATTGCAGAAATTCCAATTTGAACAATGATAATTTTAACACAGATACTATTTTAAATCTTGGTCCTACAATACCTAATTTTCTTGAAACTCACACTTTGTGGAGAGGATCTATTAGCATGTTAAAAAATGCATTCAGTGAGGGGAGATGAAAGGTTTTCATTGTTCATACAGATGTTATTTTTGATTTAACTTGTCTCGCACCTTCTCTCAGAAATCTCACCTGTTTTTGCTGATCTGTTCTAGCAAAGCTGTCAGCAAATGCCAATCAACTGCTAAATGGAAACAGTGCACTATGAAAAAACCTACAGTGAAGTAGGATATAAAAGCCTGGGTAATGCAATGTCTAAAAAACTGATGACCCTTGTGCAAATGGGCAAGTTAGAACAGGGTCTGGCTGGAGAAGGAGGCTGTGCAGAGTTAGGGCAGCACTTGGGGGTCAGCTTCCCTGTTTTGGTCCATGGAGACCTCCCAGCACAGAACAGTACAAGTGCAGGAATGGGGTCAAGGAGCAGGTAGGATAAGTAGAGGGATATCAAGACCAGTAAAAATGCTGAAAGCTAGTTGGCCCATTTCCAGAAAGGTCTAGAAGAATGAACTGTGCATGATAACTCATTGGCATAAGAAGAAAAACAGCCCCAGGGCAGGGACAATTTGTCTATAGAAAGGATTACCCACAGAGTTCAGGTGCTGCCCCCAGGGCCCTGGACATCTCATGGGCTGGATCAACCCTGGACCCATGAATGGTGTTTTCCTTTCCTCTCCTATTTGATCTGTGTCCACCCCCGCTTCCATCCCTCTTTTTTTTTTTATTCTTTTATTTATCTTACTATTAGAAGGGGTAAAACCTATCCCAGTTTTCATGCCGAGCATGTAATTTGCTAATAAAACTTTGCAAGGTCTTTTGGACCCTTCTGGCTTTTGCTGTTCTTTTTTTGACCGCAGTCATCTACAAATCTTGGGTGCTCCCTTCTGCTTAGGAGTGCGGCATGACAGTGGGGAATTCCAACCCCAAGCACTCAGGACATCCTTCATTTTGGTTACAGTTTTGCTTCAGTGTGACTGGGCTCATAATCTGACACTCCTGGAGCCTGTTCTGATTGTACTTCACAAGGTGAATGTCCAGGTCACACACACTGAACAGCCTTAGAAGCAACACCACAGCCACATTTTCCAAGCATTTGTTCTTGAGTGGAATTTATCCTTTTGAAACCAAAATAAAGGAATTGACTGAATGGTTTGAAAGTTTAAAATGTGTATTCTGACAAAAACGTAGGTTTGATTTTTCATTTGGTGTAATGATAAGTTATTTTTTTTCTGTGAAAAGCTGAATCAAATTTGTGATTTGAGTTTGTTAGCAATAAAAAACCCCAATAAAAATGTAAGGAGTGAATGGAAGCTTTTCTGTGAAAAAATCAATAAGTTGCAAAAAAGTGAAATTATGCGAGGTCTGATGACAACATTTTATGCCAAAAGTTTCATTTGCACTTAGCATGACTTTGGACTTTATTGGTTTGGAGACATCTGAATGAAATTTCAAATAAATATAAAATAGAATTGCTTCATATTAGCAAAAAATTTAAGTGGTTGACTTTCTCAAAGACCATCCTCTCATCCCAAGGGATTCTGAGAAACCATATCCTTCTGAACCACCTTCAGGACCACTCAGGGTGGTGGCCAGGTAAATATGGATCTTGCTCCCAAAAGAAATCCGGATGTTTCTTTCCAAAGCACTTATTTTGTTGCTCTACAGACATTGCCTGGTGCCTTTGGTCAGATAATGAGGCAGGAGATGGGGAACAGACTGCAGCTGGAGGCTGTTCATCTGGGAGAGGGTTACACTTGTACCTACAATCAAGAATGAAACCTGTAATATCTAATGGGTCCTTGCATTTCAATGAGTTAGTGCAATACTTCCACTTGAATGCATTTTCCTCTTGACTACTACTTACCTTATAAGACTTACCTTACTTATTAACTCTATCAGGCAAAAGCTAAAAGTGTCCCACAGGAAATCTTTCAGAACCTACAATTTCAGTTATGGGAGAATTTATAGCTCAGCAACACTTTACAGATTGTCCACTAAGAGAACCACACAGGCATCAGTTAATAGACATTTTTAATATCCTTAATGAAATGGTACACAGCAATCCCAACAAGGGAGTTAATAAAAAGCCGTATGGTTTATACGCATAATATCTTAGAATTAATATAGCACAAGCAGATAGGTGAAATCAATGTAAAGAAATATATGTGATGTGTTTCATATTAAACACCATTTCTGGCACCTTATAAACACCTTATAATAATCTTTCTGTGCTGTGATATCTCTTAGCAATTCTTTGTTCCAAAATCCTACAGCAATACTGAAAATGAGAACTCTCTGCTAACATGAAATCCATGTGTTGCTTAACGGCTCATATGAACGTCTCCATCAGGAAATAGTGGACCTGTAGTACTTCCCATAATTGTTAAATATAGATATTTTCTACACTAAGTATTGTGTGTGCCCCCATTAGCCCAGAAACATTCCCAGCTTCCAAAACTAGGACTGCGGATCTTAAATGCAAACTCTGCGTAAAACCTACCAGCTCAAATCCAGTTGAACAACAAAGATCAAAAGTTATTCTCATTGAGCAAGCTTTGAATTGCTGTTCTACTGAGGAGAAAAGACTTGTGTAATTTTTATTTATTTCAGGTTTAATCCTTTGATCCGACATCTCCTTCGAATCTGCTCTGATGCTCCTGTGATGTGAAATTTGAGAGCACTCTTCTTCTAGAAGTGAGGTGGTTTCTGTGCCCTTTGAAGTTGTCTATTGAAGTTTTGATGTCAACACAGAACTGTAGAGAGGAGAATCATATTAGACCTTTCTTAGGGCACAGAGTGAATTGACTTAAATATGAGTTATCTGTTAATATTGTTGTTATCGCTGCCTGGCCTGATGACTGTGACTCCTATCTCCAATGCTGGGCAATACATTCCATCGAAAGAGTTATGTTTTACCCCTTTGGACAATAGAAGTTGTTGCTAATAATGTCTTTGGGTCAGTTGATTCATTTTTATTGTCACTTTTGTTTTCTTCGTGCTGGTATTTCATCAACTCTGGAAAAACTTTTTGAAATGAATGTATTTAATTTTTTTTTGTATTGAAAATCTTACTATGACTCCAACTTCAAAATGAATTGATAAAAGTTAAGAATGTTTAAGTTAGAATTGCTCTTCATGACTATCTGCAAAAACTTTTAAAATTTCTTAAATATTTTTTAGTAGAGTTAATTCATAATTTTATTTCAAAAATCCATCATCATTGTAAATACTTGCATTTTTTATTTCTTTCTTGCTGTAGAATGAGATGCAGAGTTTTTAATTTTATTACAGGACAGTCACTGCTAGATACACTTTGGGTATATCTAACTGGTTTTAAAAGACTTCACAATTTTCCATTGCTAGTAGCAACCAGGATTCTCTGTGGCATAATCACATATATTATGTATTTCCCTTGTATTAGAGTATAATGAAGCAGATTTACAACTACTTTCAATTATTACATTCACAAACTACAAGGTATCTATGACACTTAGGGTTATACAACGATCTCTGAAGTTCTCAGAAAGCATCATTATTTTTCTGTCTCTCTTCTCTAGACCCTTTGATCATTAAAAAAAAAAAAAAAAAGATTTTCATAGACTGACACTTCCCTCTGTCAAAATACATTTCCAGAGGAAAGCCGAGTGACTGCTGCAAGCTGCTGTGCTCTAAAGAGCTGCCGGGAAGTTAAGAACAAGAGTAGTGTTTTTCTGGAGGGGTTCTTCTCTGAATACTAATTCTTCTTCTACCAAGTACAATCCATTGGCATTCACACTGCCCATCTCTGAGATGGGGTCAGGTGCAGCTGCCAGCACTATAACTGTTCCAGCTTCTTCTGGTGTGAGGAAACGGCACCTGCTTGATTAGGCCAGATAAGATGCTGAGGAGTAAAGCTCCTACGGCTGAGAAAGATGTTAACCCTCTGGAGGCAGGGATGGGTGGTAGCAGCTCTTATTTAACTTACCCTGCATACAGCTCAGGCAATACACAGTTATCCATGTTTGCAGTGGAGGAATCCCTAGCACAGCTTTGGATGAACTATCTCAGGGAGGGGCAACAATCCTGCTGTGGCATCCCCAGCCTCAGTGAGAAAAATTTACTCTTGTTCCTAGCAGGCTAAAAAAAAAAAAAAACCAAACAAACATTCAAGCTCTCTATGGCTAAACCTTGGTTTGCATTTTGAGTATTTCTAATTTATTTTGCAGCATTTCCTGCAGACATGCCTCAGGTTGCATGATTTAATTTGCTTGTTCTATGCTCCGGGCATCTGATCTCATGTGGCATTACAAATGGGAGAGATGGATATTTCTGCATGGAGTTTACAGCTTTGATAATATCTAGGTTTCTTTTTTAATCCCTTTGGATGCACATGTGTAAGATTTGCAGAGCAGGAGGGAGGGGAGGTCATCAATCACCTTGCACACATGCTGCCTTTCCCCTTGTTATGAGTACTTAACTCGCACTGCGAGAAACAGAAGGGAGACTGAAGCATGTGGCGATTTTGGAAATGAAGGGTTTTGTTGCTGACCTCCAAATTAGTGAGGAAGATTCCATTTCCTTGGGTCCCTAATATTTTCACGAGCCTGCAAGAAGATAATTACCTGTTTAGTGGGGTTAAGAATTAAGTTGCAGGCTGGGCAGTTCTGCTGACTGTGTAGACAATATATTTGGAGGCATGGCTGGAGAGCATCCTCTGGAGCTTCCAAGACTACAAGAAGCTTTCTTGAAAAAGGCTTTCTCAGGCATGTTCAGGGAGGCACAGTGGTCTACAGGTTGCTTTGGAGATATCCATACCTACTGAAACCTGTGGAAGATGGAGTGACACTGAATGTGGTATCTCTTTTGCTCATTCTTGCTCTGTAAACCTGGTCTTGGAGGTGTGAGAGATATTTCTGTTGTCACAAATGGTGACTGAGTATCTACCAGGAAATCCAGAGGAGAGCCAGGATTAGAGTGCTGGAGCACCTCTCCTACGAGGAAAGTCTGAGAGAACTGAGGTTGTTCAGCCTGGAGAAAGGAAGGCTCTGGGGAGACCTTCTAGCACACTTCCAGAGAAAGGGGCTTATAAAAACATTGCGAGAGACATTGTTTACAAGGACATGTAGTTATATGGCTAGAGGGAATGGTGTTAAACTGAGAGAGAGAAGATTTAGATTAGATATTTGGAAGAAATTCTTCCCTGTGAGGGTGGTGAGGCATTTGCACAGGTTGCCCAGAGAAGCTGTGCATTCTCTCAAGTGTTCAAGGCCAGGTTGGATAGGGCTTTGTGCGCCTGGTGGAGTGAAAGGTGTCCCTGCCCATGACAGGGTGGCTGGAACTAGATTATCTTTCAGATCCCTTCCAAGCCAAACCAATCTATAAGTCTATGATACCAGGCAAATTATGCATATGAGTTCAATTATTAAATCTAGAAGGTAGTATAATGTCACACTACTGTTACTAAGTTTTGCACTTCTATAAACTTATTAGTTTATCCCTCTTATCCTAAGATTTTAATCTTAGGAATAATATTCTTCCCCATACTACTGTTGATGGGCTTTTACTTTTTTTATCTGAGGACCCTGACTGTCCTTTCCAGATTGTTTTGAGCCTCTGGTTCCCATATGATGCGTGTGGTGACTGGTGCTCTTGAGGATACTGCTCCAGGATATCTTGCTCCTGACATTTGGAATGTCAGAAAAAGAAAAAAGAAAAGCAGCAGAATCAGCTCTTAAAAGAAAGGCAGTTCACTTTCATAACAGGTGTTGCTGATCCAGTGATATCATGGATGTATCATTGACTTCCAGAGAAGCAGTGCAGAAGGTTACTCCGTAAATTAGGCATAAAAAATGCAAAGAGGGTTTTTTCCTGCCTGGTTAAGAAATGCAGGGCAGCTGACTGCATCTTTCCTTGTCAGCAAACTCCTCATAGAAGCTTTTATTGGCTGGGGATATCAGTTCCATGAAACTTTCATTCACCCAGCTCCTGGACAGACTCCCTGTACTTGTCTCCAATATATGGGAGAAACAGGAATGAATGAAGCAATACAGAAAGAAAGAGGCATTCTGGAGCTTTGTCACTGATTGAAGAGTGTGATCACACACTCTTGTGTGTGTGTCAGATGTGTCAGCTCCAGCAGAGAAATGGGAGACCCTGCTGCTCTCCAGATCTGCTTTCAGCTCAGGCTCGGGGAGAGCCTCCGACTGAGGGATCATTGGGCTCAAAGTCAGTTCTAGAGCTGTGCAACTTGCTGAGCTGACCCAGCAGCCCTGTCCCATGATTGGCAGAAAAGCTGGAAAAGGAGCTGCTTTTGCCATGATGTCTTGATCTCTGAATCATGTAATTGTAGGATCATAGAGTCACTAAAGTTGGAAAAAACCTTCAAGATCATTGACTCAAATGTTTGACCAACACTACCTTGCCAACTAGACCAGAGTGCTGAGGGCTATGTCCAGTTGTTTCTTGAACACTTCAAGGGATGGTGACTCCACCACTTCCCTGGACAGCCTATTCCGGTGTTTAATCACATTTTCAGTGAAGAAATTTTTCCTGATGTCCAACCTGAATCTCTCCTGGTGCAGCTTGAGGCCATTTCCTCTCGTCCTGTCACTCATTACCTAGGAGAAGAGACTGACCCCCACCTCGTTACAAACTCCTGTCAGGTAGTTGTAGAGAGTGAGAAGGTCCCCCCTTGAACCTCCTTTTCTCCAGGCTAAACAGCTCCAGCTCCTATTGCTATTGACAGGCATTTGGTCAGACAGATATCCATGATTATGCAAAAAATTCCACCTGTAAAACATGTCAAGAATGTGCTCTAAGGTTTTCAAGACCTCTAACTGACATCTAAATGTACCAAAATACATTTTAAAATCCAGGTTTCAATGCCTGAAGGGTTTCCTCTGCCCCACTGTGGTCTCTCCTAAGCTGAATGCATTTCAGATCTGGACAGGCTGGATGGATGAGCCAGGGCCAAGGGTGTGAGGTTCAATAAGATGAACTGTCAAGTCCTGCACTTCAGTCACAACAACCCCTTGCAGCACTACAGGTTGGGGGAAAGGTGTCCTGAAAGCTGCTCAGAAGAAAGGGGCCAGAGAGTGCTGGTTGGCAGCGGCTGAACACAAGCCAGTGTGTGCCCAGGTGGCCAAGAAGGTCAGTGTCACCTGGTCTGTGCCAGCAGTAGTGTGTCAGCAGGACCAGGGCAGTGACCGTCCCCCTGTGCACATTCTTGACATGTTTTGCAGGTGGAATTTTTTGCACAGTCATAGATATCTGTCTGACCAAATGCCTGTCTATGGTAATAGGAGAGAAACTGGTGCTTTAAAGATTTACCCTGATTGTCAAGTAGATGAGGTGAGAAACAGCTCATATGTATCTTTCAGTAATGATGCCCACGTCTCTCTACTGACTATGAAGAGAGCTTTTATGACTAGATGATATTTAGAGACTTCTAATGTAGGTTTCTAAAGTTACAGATCCCACATTAAGTAGTGAAATTACTTCAAAAATCAGGCTCTTAGTGAGCTGAGGTTGCCTTTGGACTTTCTCTAAAGCAAGTGAGGAGTTACTGGGAAAGAGAATGGGAAAATAAGCCAGCCTGGATTAATGATAGAAGAATTGTGCCTACCAAAGGACAGCGTTTGCTTCTACAGTTCCTATCTGCAAAAGCTCTCAATATACTTTATGGACTGTAGCGAGTGAATCCTGACAAGTCCCATCTGCAGCTGGTGTTTGCCAGGGCTCCCAGCTCAGTTGGGGCATGGAGAGGTGCAGCAACTGCATTTTCATAGCATCAGGGAGACAGGATTATCCTTCAGTCCCCCTAAAAGCACCCTGGATGACTTCTGATGAG